TTGAATTATGTATCATAACTTTATCGATTGTCAAGAATGTATGAATGGAACTAGATTATAAATCAAGAATTAAAATGGATACCAATAGACGGATTCGAAATCCAATACAATCATCTATAGTTTAATAAAAATCAAAGTTTTACAGCTTTCTTAAATTAATTGAACAAAAATCAAATCAAAATATATCTTTTGTTTTATAGAATTCGAACTTCATACCTAACTGGAAGCCTTGAATTAAATTTATTTCCTATGGGTTGATATTCTTAACTCATCAATTCTATTGCTTGTCAATAATCACATACGCTTGCGGGTTCCACATGAACATGGAATATAGGGAAGATCCTTGGTGCATGGTCACTTGTTTGATGTAGATGTCACTGGCTTGCCTTTAACTTTAGTGGCATTTTTGTGTAGTTTATTTTCAGGGCGATATTGTGAAGTATTGATGATGTGCCTTCAAGAACACACAACATTAGCAGACGGCTTTGATAATGATAAAGTTCAAGAACATATATATGAGCACATGGTGAGATGAATAAGATATGGTGACAATAGTTGTATTATATGTTAGATAATTGATGCATAAAGTACATCCAAACTTAAGCATGTATGATCCAAAATATAACCAATGAATTAGTTCAAAAACTTGGTTAGGGTATTTTTATCAAGCATCTAGTGAAAATGCCAAAATTGTTCATAGAATCACAAGATTTTAGGGTTCTATCTACCCTAGATTTTTACCCATCAATCATAGCCTAAAGTGGTCTATGCAACAACTACCACTTAATGCACAAGAGAAATCCAACTAACGGGTAACAATAACATTGACTCTTGTTGCTTAAAATACTAAAATATTGAAACTACAAAAGATGATGATGATGATGATGATGATGATGATGATGATGATGATGATGATGATGATGATAATAATAATAAAATCCTAAATTGAAAAGTGAAAATTAAAAGAGAAGAAGAGTATAGAAAATAGAATTACTGCCCAAGAAGCGTTTGTCTAATATCATTAGCTTGACTTTTCATGACAATCATTTCACGACGCTTTCAATAGGACTTTGAAAGTCTTGTTTGCTTGCATCGGTTGCCTTCACACAATTTTTGGTATAATCTCCAAAATTTGACTTTCCCTTTTTCGCAGAGATATGATTTGACTTTATCACGTAACTCAAACTCAAATATGAAAATTTTAATATCCTCATCGATATTAATCATACAATCAACTTTAGAGCAAACACTAGAATCAAAGGATTTCTTGATGGTAGCAACATCATTGAATGTTACTTTTTTTCTTTTTGCTCCTTTAGGATCGATACCTCCATCTCCACATGCTCTTCTTATTTAATTGGCTCTTTCAAGACGAGTCTATTAACCAAAATTGAGAAGTTGCACATCACTTCTTGTTGTAATGCTTGGCAGGTATTCCATCAGGTTGGTGTTGATTGAAAAGGTACCTTGTGAACATTCAGTAACTTTGCCATCTTCCCAGTTTGTTTTCTAAGTAATTAGCACAAAAAAAAAAAAATAGGAGAACTTGACAAACAGCAAAATCCTAATTAGGTGCTGGTGGTCGTGCCCCTTTGCTGTCAACTCAGAATTTGTCAACAAAATGATAAACAAAACTATATAAGTAGCAAAATTCATTTAATAATATTGATAATGATTTAATTATACGACGTTTTCAAAGTATCAAAATACGCTTTAACTTATTTTCATTAATATTAATTTTTTAAAAATATATATATTTTAATTTTCGACCCCAGAGCACAAAAAAGTCTTGGTCCATCTCTGTCCATCACTATGGCAATGTGTTGGTTTTTTAGTCAAGGTTAGCTTTCTCAATCATTAGTGAAAGTAACTTGTTTCCACTCCATTTTTTATCCTGTTAGCCAATATCATAGGGCTGTAAGAAAAAAATCGAAGAATCGAACTGAAAGCGCATTTTAGAATCATGGATTTGGTGCCTCGTGGGCCCGATTAACTAAATGATTTTAAACCAAACCAAATCAGTCAAAATGGTTTGGTTTATGTTTGAGAATCTTAATTACGGTTTAAAACCAAATCAGACCGACGAAAAAATATATAAAAATAAAAAAAATGAAAAAAATGAAATTTTTTGAAAATTCATCCAAATATGTAAATTTAATAATTTTTTCATTTGTAGGTATTTTTGTCAATTTTTTTATTTTCTAATACAGATATATTATTATTATTATTCAATAATCATAATTTATATCTAATAATCTCAAGACTAACATAATCTATCAAAAGCACTTTTCCTCTTCATAATTTAGATGAACTTCAATCGACATCCAACACAATTTTGAGCCACCGACATAACACTTCTTTTTCAGATTTTTCACACATCTTCAAAGTTGAATTAAAGTCCATTATATCAAATCGGAGACAAAGAGATTCTAAACTTTCGATGATAATATTTGCTACAAATAAAGTTTCAGATCAATAATTTTTTTTGAAACAAAATAAGGTAAGAATTTGAAACTAAATGCATTTCGTAACATCATGCAAACATAAATTTGTGTAATTATTATGTTTAAATATTATAAACAATTATTTTATTATTATGGTTGATTATTCTCTTTGTCTAATCAGTGTCCTTTTTTCAGATATAATGATCACGAGGTCTTGTTAGATATTATTATGTTTTTTGGGCCTTAGATCTAGTTTAGTAGATTTGTATTGTAATATTGTATTGTCATTAGCCTAAAAAAGGTGAATAAAAATGAAAAAACTATGTTTTAGTTTATTGTGATTTTACTTTAATTTAGTTGGCATTTAAATTTATATTAGATATCTTTAGCCCCATATTAAAGCCATATTTTTCATATCATCATAATGAGAAAATTGACCATTGAATAGAAGGTTGGGTCCCACACATGAAACAACAGGTCAACAAAGACAGCTGGACTTGTGGAATAACGGTCTAAATTTTCATTTTTTTTCCAAAAATTTGGTTCAAACATGAGCTTAGTTTGTTCTAGATTTATTGTTAATAAGATATAAATATATATTGAATTCAATAAATTAATAACATAAAAGTAGACAAACAAAAAAATATATGGCGAAATCGACGGTTTAAAATCGGACCAAACCGTTAGGTTTATGTTTGAGTTTTTTTCGATCGTTCAAAATGGTTTGATTTAGATTTGAGTGTTTTACCGTTTTTATTTGAAAATCTGTTAAAAAATGGACCACTTGCACCCCTACAATATCATTCCATAAAGATATTCAACGTGCATTGAATCAACAAATCTTCAAGTAGTCATATCACGAGCCCCACAATCCCCAAGGTATGCTCAAGAAATGGTTAAGCTAACTAAAATAATGATTGGTAATGACTACTGTGCTCAAAGGGTATTTGTCTTTTGATGTTAAAAAGGTTATTGTGGTGAATAATTAATAAGTTAGGTAGAGAAATAGGATCATTTCAAAAATGCAGTCCGTCATATGAGGATATATAGGTCCCGTTTGGTAGGGATTTTTTGTCCAAAAAAATTAATTTTTTGATCGTTATTTTACTATTCAAGCCGTAATTTTTGACTTCTTCTCTCACATGTGGACTCCACTTTTCTTCTAACGGTCAAAAAATCAATTCTCAAAATCCTTACCAAACAGGCCCATAGACCTAGTTTGATTCTCATTTTTATCAAAAAATATTTTTCTCTTTTCTTTTTAATTACATATTTTTCATTAAAATAATATTACACGTAAATAAAAAAAATTCTTATTTTTCATTCACATATTTTCTATCAATCTACTATTATAAAATTTATTTTTTCATAAAAATAGCTGCCAAACACTCCTATAGCTCGTGTTGTGGACGCGGTGATGGGATCCTATTAAATGAACAGTCGCCCTCAAAATTCTCCCAGACTGTTACACGTTAATTTTTTTCCTTTTTCAGAATAAAATATGCAATGCCAGCGAAGCACTCGCGCAGAAGCCATTCATTTTTGCACCGTTTCACAGTGAGAATATATTCTCTCTCTACAGAGTTAGAGAGAGAGAGAGAGAGTACAAGGGCAAGAACGACGACGTCAAATTCCTGCCGCTCCAGTAATAAATAATAATATTCGGCTTTCTGCATTGCATTGAAATATGGTGGATCAGAACGTTTTGGCAGCCCTTTTTGGGTTTGCCATTTTTTATGGGTTTTTGATATTCAGAAAAGCTGGTGGCACCCGGAAGAGTTGCTTGCCGGAAGAAACCGCTGCCACCACCGTCATTGACGGCAAAATGGACCACTTGCACCCCTACAATATCATTCCATAAAGATATTCAACGTGCATTGAATCAACAAATCTTCAAGTAGTCATATCACGAGCCCCACAATCCCCAAGGTATGCTCAAGAAATGGTTAAGCTAACTAAAATAATGATTGGTAATGACTACTGTGCTCAAAGGGTATTTGTCTTTTGATGTTAAAAAGGTTATTGTGGTGAATAATTAATAAGTTAGGTAGAGAAATAGGATCATTTCAAAAATGCAGTCCGTCATATGAGGATATATAGGTCCCGTTTGGTAGGGATTTTTTGTCCAAAAAAATTAATTTTTTGATCGTTATTTTACTATTCAAGCAGTAATTTTTGACTTCTTCTCTCACATGTGGACCCCATTTTTCTTCTAATGGTCAAAAAATCAATTCTCAAAATCCCTACCAAACAGGCCCATAGACCTAGTTTGATTCTCATTTTTATCAAAAAATATTTTTCTCTTTTCTTTTTAATTACATATTTTTCATTAAAATAATATTACACGTAAATAAAAAAAATTCTTATTTTTCATTCACATATTTTCTATTAATCAATTATTATAAAATTTATTTTTTCATAAAAATAGCTGCCAAACACTCCTATAGCTCGTGTTGTGGACGCGGTGATGGGATCCTATTAAATGAACAGTCGCCCTCAAAATTCTCCCAGACTGTTACACGTTAATTTTTTTCCTTTTTCAGAATAAAATATGCAATGCCAGCGAAGCACTCGCGCAGAAGCCATTCATTTTTGCACCGTTTCACAGTGAGAATATATTCTCTCTCTACAGAGTTAGAGAGAGAGAGAGAGAGTACAAGGGCAAGAACGACGACGTCAAATTCCTGCCGCTCCAGTAATAAATAATAATATTCGGCTTTCTGCATTGCATTGAAATATGGTGGATCAGAACGTTTTGGCAGCCCTTTTTGGGTTTGCCATTTTTTATGGGTTTTTGATATTCAGAAAAGCTGGTGGCACCCGGAAGAGTTGCTTGCCGGAAGAAACCGCTGCCACCACCGTCATTGACGGCGGTGAATGCAGATCGAAGGACGGAGGGGGAGAATATTTTGACGTTATCATTGTTGGTGCTGGCGTCGCTGGTGCGGCTCTGGCTCACACTCTTGGAAAGGTATACAACTTCCTTTTTATGGTAAAAATAGATGGATCCAGCATTTATAATATTTTTTTGGGAAACATATATAAATCAATGTATGATGTATGGGCAGGTGTTTGTATGTACCACGAGACTGGATTCTAAAAAATGATATTTGATTCTTGTTCAATGGCAGCACAAAAAATTGTTCGTGGTTTTTTACTACTTATGTTCCCTATTAACGAATGCTGAAAGTGAATTCAGTTGTATTATTATTTCTTAATAAATTTTGGATTGATGATGTTTATTTTTCAGATTACATGTTTATAAAGCATAAGATTCTGAATGATTTGTTACTAAATTTCTCTTCGAAACTTGTTTCGGCTTTATACATAGCTAAACTAGAAAGCAACGTAAGTTGTATCACAGGATGGGCGTCGGGTGCGAGTAATTGAGAGAGACTTGACTGAGCCCGATCGAATAGTGGGAGAACTGTTGCAACCAGGTGGATACCTCAAACTGATTGAGTTAGGACTGGAAGGTAATTGATATCGTGCCTGTACTTGTCGTACATGGAATTTATCTTTTAATGGCAATCAATGTTTAAACTATCTGCAATTTCTTCTGGATTTTATTTTAGTTGCAACTTTGATGTCTTGTCAACAGATTGTGTGGAGCAAATTGATTCCCAGAGGGTGTTTGGATATGCTTTATTCAAGGATGGGAAGTCCACGCGACTTTCTTATCCTTTGGAAAAGTTTCACTCTGAGATATCTGGGAGGAGCTTTCACAATGGACGCTTCATACAGAGGATGCGCGAAAAAGCTGCATCTCTCCCCAAGTATGCCTTTGCACTCTATAGCCCCTTGAACATCCTGTTTCGTGATAGCATGTTAGGTTGTTTCCGTGCTTTTTTCTTTTTCTTTTTACCCCCAAAGGTTCAATGCCTATTCCAGATGCTGATTTGTATAGCATTATATATACTAATAGAAGATTTCATAGTTTCTTTTTATGCGTGTGTCCGTGCCAATTGATCGTCATCACTTGTCTTGTTATCTCAAAGTGTGCAATTGGAGCAAGGTACTGTCGCATCTCTGCTTGAAGATGAGGGAACTATTAGAGGTGTACAATACAAGACAAAATCTGCTGAAGACCTGAAAGCTTATGCACCTCTGACCATTGTATGTGATGGCTGCTTTTCCAACTTGCGACGTTCCCTTTGCAACCCGAAGGTAATAAAACATTACCGAAAGTTTTCATTTCTCTGATATTCAGTTTCTCTACTTGAATTATTCATTGCTTGTTTATTGGCCTTAGATGAGTGCTTGAATATTGTCTTTAGTATTTCAACAGTCAGTTTCTTGGTTTCTTGAGAAAGTGATTGACGATGACATATTCTTTTGTTCAGGTAGATGTGCCTTCTTGTTTTGTTGGGCTGGTGCTGGAGAATTGTCAACTTCCTTTTGCAAACCACGGGCATGTAGTTTTGGCAGATCCATCTCCAATCTTGTTTTACCCCATCAGTAGCACTGAGATCCGCTGTCTGGTTGATGTTCCTGGTCAAAAGGTGCCTTCTGTATCAAATGGTGAAATGGAAAAATATTTGAAAACCGTAGTTGCTCCCCAGGTAAATATGTTTGAGCGTGTACTGTGTTTTTGTGTTGTAAACATGATCACAAGTGATCTGCTATGTTAATTTTCTGCTTGCTGACGTGATTATTTTAGGTCCCTATCGAACTGCGTGATGCATTCATTTCTGCAATTGAGAGAGGAAACATTAGGACAATGCCAAACAGAAGCATGCCGGCTGCTCCACATCCAACTCCAGGGGCTTTGCTTATGGGGGATGCATTTAACATGCGCCACCCCTTGACAGGTGGAGGAATGACTGTAGCATTGTCTGATATTGTTGTACTACGCAATCTTCTTAGGCCACTGCACGATTTGAATGATTCAAGTACTCTGTGCAAATATCTCGAGTCTTTCTACACCTTGCGGAAGGTGAGTCACCATAACAGGGAGGACTTTTTTTACCATAAATTAATATGCATACCTTTTGATGACCTTTTTGTCTAATTTATTTGGTAAAGAATTTACAGCTATTAGCATAGTAGCAACTTTAGTGATCTTGTGTCTCCCAGTATTTGCTAAAAATCATTCACTCCACGTCCACCAAGTATGCTCTTCAAATCGATCTTACTAGCTTGAGAAACTCTCACTTCAAATATTTTATTTGCAGCCTGTGGCATCCACTATCAACACATTGGCAGGTGCCCTTTACAAGGTATTCAGTGCTTCACCTGATAAAGCACGGAATGAAATGCGCCAGGCATGCTTTGATTATTTGAGCCTTGGAGGCGTTTTCTCAGATGGCCCAGTGTCTCTGCTCTCAGGGTTGAACCCCAGGCCACTGAGCTTGGTTTGCCATTTCTTTGCAGTGGCAATTTATGGTATTGGCCGTTTGATGCTGCCTTTTCCTTCGCCTGGACGTATATGGATTGGTGCTAGATTGATTTCAGTATGTATATTCTTGCCTCACTTATTTACCTCGTCTCTCTATTTTGTCCCCTACTCTTTGCATCTCTCATTCAAGTTTTGTTAAAATCAGAGTGCATCAGGAATAATCTTTCCAATTATCAAGGCCGAAGGAGTAAGGCAGATGTTCTTCCCAGCAACAGTTCCTGCATATTATCGAGCTCCACCTATTAAATAAGCTTTGTTAAAGCCGAAGTCTGGAGGAGAGTGCGAACTCAACAAAAATATGTCATATTGTGTCGATTTCATTTCTCGACTTCAGGAGTACAAACTTTTTCCTTGTACATTTTTAGTTTTGCCTTCAATGACATGAACATTAAAATGTGTGGTGATGGAGACTGCATGGTTAGCGATTCTGTAGAAGTTAAATCATTTTAGCCCATATAACCCGTTTGACATTCGACCTTTTTCGTTTTCTATTATCACACGTTTTCTATAACGTGAAATTGCTACAAGTGAACGGTGTCAAGCTTTGTAACATAGTAATGAAGTGAAGAATGTCGAACCCACCAGAATTGATATTCGAATCTTATTTAATACTATAATTGTTTTAGGTTTCTCTTTATTTAGAAAATCAAATTTTGAAACGATGTTTTTATACTAATCTAACGCAAATAGGATGAATAATGCAAATAACAGAGGCAAATTGTGAAATTTTTGTCAAATTATGAAAGCTTAGGGAATGATTTCACTATACTATCAACAATGTTTTTCAACCTCTATAGTTATTTCTATCATTTTTTTCAAAATTTATAGGTAAGAACCCTAAATTAATCCTATTCACTCTTTTGAGTGCCGAATAAAACCTATTTCTATATTTCAATTTCAATATCCCTTTTCCAAATTGAAAATATAAAAATCATCATGCACATAGTTTTTAATTGAAATAAGCCTCAAAGATTTCGCACCTTCACTCGAAATCTACAAAATCTAGGTTATGTTGTTTTTAGATCACAAACAAATTTTCCTCTCTCGAATGTCGAAATTTAAAGCATCAAATCATTTAATTATTAATCAGGTAATTGAAAGTATTACGCGAGAATCAACATAAATAAATTAACGAAAAAAATCAAAGAAGTAAGTATATTAGAATCAAAACATGTCTGAAGGAGGTTACATCAAACCCTATATTTGAAGTTTTAGTATATAATTGAGATGAATGACATGATTAAAGTGAAAGGAAAGAACATGAAGAAGAAAAGAATAAGAAAAACTCATTTTACCGATTGATTTCTCCTCGTGGAAGTTGTCGATTCTTTCTCAATCAATTGCTGTTTTTTCCTTTTCGCCTCATTGTGTCGTCTCCTCCCTTTCTTTTGGTTTTCAAGTCAGTATTTCTAGTCCCTTAAGGTTGCAAGACAGATTAGGATTGGACTGACCGAAATATTTTTTTAAAAATCCGCATTTTCCTCTTTTTGCCGTAGCGCTGCAATGGATTTTGTGCTGGCGCCGCAGCGCTTGTTGGCGCCCAGGCCTCTTGGGCACCCAATGCGGTTTCTAGTCTCTTTTCCGCCTCATTCTTCTCTCTTTCATCTCCATTCCGTACCTACTTCCATGATCAATACTTAGCTTTATTCCAAGCTCCAATCAATGCCGTTTTGTCCACATTGTCCAAGCTACAAAACAACACGAGCACACACGTCAAAACGTTCAAAAGTGCTCAAAAACAAATTGAAAACCATGGTTTAGAGGTACTAGATCGATAAGTGAATTACACTCATATTATTATAATTCAATCCAAATTTATTGAGGTTTGGCTTTTTTTTTTTTCCTTTTTCTTTTCTTTTTTCTTTTTTTTTTTATTTTTTTATTTTTTTTGCCTTTGCTTCTTGTAGAAGAGATTTTTGGAAAAAGCCACCTTAATTTTTATTTGAAAACTAATTTTTAGATGTGTTGTGCTATGGCGACAAAGACTGCATGGTTAGCAATTCTATAGAAGTGTACTCGTTTTAGCTTATATAACTCATTTGATATAACTTTTGCTTTTGCTTTATGTAGAAGAGATTTTAAAGGAAGCTACCTTAATTCTGGAAGTGGTTTTAGAAGAAGCCACATTGAATAACATTTCTCTAAAAAAATTTCTAACTACTAGAAACATGTTCATAAAATTAGCCAAATGAATTCAAAAGTTTCTTTTGGGTCTCAAAAGTTCCTTTCGACTTTTTAAAAGTCATGTCAAACAAAAACTCTTTACATAAACACATGAGTCGAGCTCGTGGATTGTTAGTGACGAGTTGCTCAGCTCATGAGCTCGTTGATTTTTCAATTTTTTTAATAGATAAAAATAAAATATAAACCCTCTTCTTTTATCCGGCTTGGGATTAGTTACGTAAATTTTGCGTATATGGAGTTAAAAATTGTATATGAACAACTTGTAACGTGTACAATTTTTTAAAGAAAATTAAAAGTAACTATTAGAAAAATAAGAAATTTTGATTAATATGATTAAATCAAATATCACTTACCTGATGACATGCAAGTTAGTCATATTTATTTTGTAGTTGGAAATGAGCATCCTACCAATTCTTCACACACATTAATGCTTCCAAAATATCATCTTCAACTGACTCCTGACCTCGGACAAAACCCTATTACCTGCATTAAAAGAAGACTCTGAACCAACAGTGCTAACCGAATGTGTCAGCAGATCTTTTGTAATTGTAAAAACAATTGGCCATCTTGTTCATACCTTCGCTAGAATTCAATTAGTTCTTCTGAACTTTTTTTAATTGTTTTGTTTGTTGGCATATTATGATTGAAGTAATCAATTAATTCAGTAGACAATGCATTTGGACTTGCATTCGATGTTTGATGAGATGCTGATGTAGACGACATAGTACTAGATGAACTTATTGCAGTTGTATCATATCTATATGTGTTAATGCCTTCAAATAAATTTAATATTTCGGCATCATCTTCTTCAATATCAGCGGAAGGAGGAGGTACAGAGAGTACCCGACTAACATTTGTACACATTCATTTCATACATTTCATATAATGTTTGCTTTAAATTATTATAGGTGATAGGGGTATTAAAAGTTAAGGGTTTTGAAATTTGATTAATTACACATTTAGTTTCTAATAAATTATATCGGGTCCATTATGCATGCTGAAGGAAATAACATAAGCAAGTTTTCCCAATATTTTCTAAATTTTAATTCCATAGCATATATAATAGCACTAAAATTAGAGCCATTTTTGTATTTATGAAATGTTTTTACAATTATATAAAGGCATTCAAACACTATACAACTAGTGGGACGGTAAACACCAGATAAAATATTTGTGGAGTCATAAAAAGATGTCAAAAAAATTTTAACTTTCAAAGCTAAAAGTCAATAAGATTCATTCAACATAGAGTAGTTATCGTTTTCTAATGTGCCTATTGTTATAAAAGTCAGCTATTAAATGTTTAAAACATTAGCATGACTTTAATAATAAGTAAGTTGAGTTCCATCTATGGCTTACGTCGTTAACAAATGTTCTAACATTCATCACCACAACTTCAGCACAATAATTCTCAAATGCTTGTTTTCAACTAGTAAAGATCGTGATGTATATTAGTGTGTTTCTAATTCTTTGAAGTTCATCATTTATATGTTTTAAATCATCTTACACAATTAAATTTAAAATATGGCACGCATAACGAATATGAAACAAATACCTACCGAAGTTAGGTTGTAGTACCTTACATAATTTATCAACAACTACTTTATTAACACTAGCATTATCGAAAGTAAAATAATGAATTTTACTCTCGTAACGATATTCTCTAATAAAACTCATAATAACATTATATATATTATTAACATTGTGAGGAAATTCAATAAGTTCAAAAGCAGTAATTTTCTTATGTATACACCAAAGTAAGTCTATATAGTGTGCAGTTGTAGCTATATACACTCTTTTATTAATCTCTTCTCATATATCATAAGTTAAAGACACAATACCCTCATATTTTTGCAAATTTATAACTAATTATTGTCTTGAATTAATAAAATATTGTATTGTTTTTTAACATAGAGTGTTTCAACTTACCTTTGAGTACTTTGGTTGCAGATATTCTTTCACGTGCAAGACGAATTGTTGATTGTCTGCTATTGTCAAAGGCAACTCAGCACCGGCAATAAGTTTTATCATTCCGGTTCGAGCTTTCTCCTCCAAATACACCCACATAGACATGGGCGAAGTCGTAGAACCGACACATGGACTGTCAAATTGCAATTGTGTTTTGACCGGCTGGAAGAAGTCCTTTTTTGACCCTCCATGCTTTGTAATGGCAGTTGAGGTGGGTGATACCAATTCCTTTTTGTCATACCAATCTTTGTTGATAGTATTTACATATTGCTTTAGATTCGGTGACTCCATCGATGACTTTTCTCGTTGAAATCAACTTGAAGTGAACCCAACATTTTGTTTGTTTTCCTCCTTTCGCTTTCCCTTCACATCGAGAATGTTTAATTCAACTTCTTCTTCCTCTTCATGTTCCGAGAATGTCAACATCATCCAAATCAATTGGATTATTACTTCCATGAACACCCAAATCTAGAATATCTTCAAATATAGATGCGTCATTTAGACTGAAAAATTCATTCCGAAATTGACTTTGCGGCATCATAGGCGATTCGCCTCCTCCCATACCGAACAGGCCCTCAACAAATGAGTGTGGATCCATTTATTTGTGATGAAATCGAAATGTAGTAACTAAAAAGTATGAAGGTAAAATAGTAAACGTATAAATGTAGCAAAAAATAAATGTAGACTTGAGAGAGAATTATTGTATAAATGTAGCAAATTAAATGTAGAATTGAGACTTGAGAGTTGAGTGAGAGATTAATGTAATTGAGAGTTGAGAGAGATAATTTGTTGTGAAGACAAAAATAGGGGTGTATGTGTATTTATAGAAAAAATTGGATTTTTTTTCTTTTTTTTTTTTGTGGTTGTTTTAGCCACTATTTATAGTTCAGTGACCGAAAAAAGTGAACGTTTTCGGTCACTGTTGCTACACGAGCCACAAGCTGGCTCGTGTAGCAAAATGAGCTACGAACCTATTTCGTTTCTTGTGAGCCCACGAGCTTGTGGGCTCCCCAACGAGCGCTCACCCATTTGGCGAGCCATAGGCTAGGGCTTGTTATTTTACAAGCCCGAGTGGTCCATGAACCCGATTTTGACGAGCCGCTCGGCTCAATTGCCACCCTAAAATTTAGGTAGCAACTGGAAAAGGATTGATGAAGTTAAAAATCTAGTTAAATTTAAATTACTTATAATTGTTACTTACTCTAAAATATACTTGATATGAATGGTAGAAACCCGACCAGTTCTTCTATTTGTTTATAGGCTCATATTCCAAAGTGGAAATCAAACCGGCTACTCTACTTATATTCTAAAGTCCAAAATTACTTTTTAACCTTTTTATATCAAAATTGATGATTTTTTAAAGGTAAAAAGAAAAGAATAAACTACATAACCAAATCCGCGATATGCACTTGAGAAATCGGAATCCAAAATTGGGCGTCGTTTTCATTCATGAATTCTTCTACATTTACGGTTTTATCATCCAAATATCTTTCTTCCATAGCAATCCTATTCAAAATCCTAATCCTTAGAAAGCTTATTCAACCTCATCTGTCTTTTGTTGCATCGTGTTGCTTTTGGTACATAGAATTGGTAAATTCATTTCCTGCAGCCAAATATTTTGAACAATTTTGCTACACTTACATCTTGTTTGACAGTTTTGTTAACATTCCATGATGTGATAGACAATCTGACAATTTATTTGAATAATACTTATTCAAATCAATGGCCAAATTTTTTACACCTCATGAAGTGTGAAGAAAGATGTACAAAATGAATGTACAAAAAGATTAAACCCTCATTTGGTAGCAACTTTTTACCCAAATAAATCAATTTTTTGACCGTTATTTCAATATTTCAGTCGTCATTTTCGATTTTTTCACTCACAAGTGAGACCCACTTTTCTCTCTATAGTCAAGAATTAATTCTCATAATCACTACTGAACATGCTTTAATTCTATTTTGAAATGGACATGCCCACCCATTGTGCAAGTAGGTCCATCTTGAAAAACGAGTTGCCAATGAACAACAAACTCTCCGAAATGAAAAAAAAAAAAAATACACTTAAAAGAGTGACAAGAGGGTTATATAAATCACCGCTAATTCCATGTAAATGTTTTTGATTTTTTGCATACCAGATCTTTATGTTTAATATAGTTCCTGATTTATTTAAATCTTCTTGTATCACGCATTTAATTTTTACAATACATGTAGATTTAATTTGAAACTGTATTCTTCTATGTTAACATAATTAATTTGTACATTATTTAGAAAAAAAATTCCTTAAGAATCTGAACATGTAAATTTTAAGATCGGATTTCTTGTTAGCATTATTTTTGTTTAAATCTTTACAATTTCTTGTATCGTTGATTCTTGAAAATGTAGCCTGTCACATTATGTCACCGAACTAACATATTGTGTCATAGCTCATGATGTTATTTAATCGAAATATTTTTCTTGTCTTTCTTGTCTCATGAATCACTTTGTAAGTAACTTCAATAACTTGCAATCTAGAACTCTAAATCATGAGCATGTGTGGCAACTCTTCGAAGGTGGGACAAATTTGCTTGGAAATTATAGAGTAATACCTAATGCATGCCTTGCATATACATGTTGATGGATGATGCTTCACTGATGCCTTTCTTATAATTAAGAATAAGATTCTCCAGCAATGATCAGCTCTTCTTTTCCCTTATTCATCAAGGCAAGTTTTGGAAGGCTAACGATCTATACAGTACTATAGAAGCATTTTAGGAATTCCTGCTCAAGTTGATCCCCACTATCAATGGATCCAGCCGTCAAGTCTGTATACCATTCAAAAGCAACACCTTTGAGGAAGGGTGTGAACTATTTTACCATGGTATCATTGTAACTACTCGCATTGTTACATGTTTCGATAAAATGAGTCACGTGTTTCCCTTTTCATCATAACATTGGAAATTCGGGGTTATTATCCAAGTGACATCCTTATTTCATCTATCCAACAACTTTAAGGTATGGCATAAACTGATGAAAATTGTGGTGAATTACCATACTAGGCACAGATGGTATTTGCAATCATATGTTTGAGTTGTTGGACGGATAGAGAACCAATAGAGACTTGAGTTTTGTCACACAACACATTTTTACCATCATTTGATCTTGCATATCTTGCTTCTATATGTGTTCCTAGACTTCCAGGTCTTTAGTTTGGAAGAATCTGTATTTTCTGGACTACCTTCTACTAATAAATTTTGTAACTCCAACCAGTGTACGTGTAACAATTTGTACATCTTTTCATCTAGTGACTTTATCTTTTAATGGCTAAAGCCAATTGTTGCAAAGCTTGATGTCACTTTTGTGATCACCACTGACTCGAATGATTTTATAGAGGTAGTCTTTCAACCTTCACGGAGGAATGGCATGAGATGACCAAGCACAGAGATGGAACCAAAATGAGGCTTTTTGTCAAGCTCTTGGTCCTTTTTGTTGAATGGAAGCTCGATTTTTCGAAAGAGATTTTCATCATACCTTTGTTTGAGAACTTCCTCAATAGTGAGAATAATTAGGTTTTTCCATATTTGTTTGGGCTCTGGTTGCATGAAAGAGTTCAGCGAGCATCCTCTCAAGATGAATCGCAATTTTCTTGGCCTTTTCACTTGCCATAATTGATGTAATGGTTCGAAATTTAAAGATTTTGAAATCAAAATACAAGAGGATAATAAAATCCCACCGAGAGCGCCAAAAAATTTGTACGTTAAATTTTGTGTATAAAATAAAAACAAAATAATCTTTTATTTTAAAAAATACAATTGATGTTGATCTTCTTGTGACTGCAAAAATTGCACGATGTTCTGATTAATGATGTCTTTGAAGATGAAATGCTACTTGGCTTGATCATTAAAAAATCCACCTCCTACTCTTTCTACTAGTTTTAATTTAATGAAAAACAATCCAAGAATTTATTAAAACCGCCTCTGTGTCACTGCTTCGTAGTTAAACAAGTTTTGTATTAGATTTACTCTAAAGAAAAGTACATCGATTCCTTCTTTTTAAATTTTAAATCTCAAAAATTAGATCCTAATTAATTTTTATTTTCAATATTTAGGTGCTAATTATATTTTTTAAAAGCAAACACACCCAACTAACACCATACCCACCCCAAACTGCATTTTATCTCACTAGCAAATTTCTAATTCACTATACCTACCCTCTCTCGCTCTCACTTGCACAAATAGCTCTATACATAGTTTTTAGATGGATGATTTTTTCATAATATTTGAGATTTTATATTTATTTGGTAAAATTTAAATAAAAAATGCTTGAGATATTAATTGATGGAATGAGAGCTTGAACGAGGGTGGGGAAGAAGAGGAAGTGGGATGGGGTGAAAAATAAAGTTTTAAAGGTTTGGGATTGTGAGTGATACATATAAAAAATTTGATTATAATTTTTTTTTTAAATAAAAAGCTTGGACCACAATTGCAATTATTATTTTTTCAATTTTGACAATTTTTATTATTTTTTAGCGACTAAACTAACAGAATTAGACGGTAGGGGGTGAATCACACTTCAAAGTCCATAGGGGGGTTTCAGCACTTCAAAGATTGTATTCCGCACTCTCAAGGTTTCAAATGGGGACTTTTTTACGATTTCCAATAGATAGAGAGGTATATTGTACATCATCAATATGTAGGGGTTTATGCTATTAAGCTTTGAAATTATATTTTAGTTATAAAATTTTCCCCATATTGAGACCTTGTTCAGCCCATGGGTCTTTTTCCTAAGACAAAAAATTTTCGAATAAACAACATTAAAATAATTATGTAATGAGCCCTCATTTTTAAAAATTATTTCATGTATATTGTTTTTGAAAAACTGTTTTATATATACTGTTTTTACAAAATAATATAAAACATACTATGTTATTTTGTTATTAAAAACATCTACCATGTTTGAGTACTGTGATGTCAAATCAAGAAGGCTTGACATGACCCGCCCAATAAAAATTACCCACCAACCAACCCATAATTCAAGTAGGCCGATAAATGAAAAATGAGGAAATTACATCTCATAGCACATTTTGGCTTGGCATTTTTTAAAGGGGTATTTACAAAAGTACTCTATATTTTTGGGTTGTTTTGAAAAAACATCATAAACTTGGATTAAATGGTAATTACTTAAAATTGAACGTAAAATATACATTCAAAACCTAAACTCATGACAATCCTCATAAATCAGCCTCCAATGTGCAAAAATCAAAGGAAAATTGAAAGGAAAAAGAGGAAATCTTCCACAAATACATAAACAATGTTTGTTCATTCTTCAAATCGAGGAAACCATCCACAAAAACATTGAAAAATCTGAAAAAAAAGTCGAACAGATAAGCAACGAAAACACAAACAAAATTACAGGTATTTCTATGTTTTGAATTCCATGATTATAGCTCATTATCCATCTCGTTTTTGTTTGAATTAACATTTATGAAAATAAAATTGTTGAAGTTGAGTGGATTGTTGAAGTTGAGTGGATTGTGTATGAAATATTAGTTTTGAATCAATTACATTGATGCTTGCAAGGTGTGCTTGCAAGGTGTTTGGCAAAAAGATAATGTGAAAAAGTGGCATTCTATCACTTTTTTCAAAAAAAAAGTCACAGCATTTCTTTTAAGCAATTAACTAAGTATGTACGTGTGAGTTTTTGAAATTTTGAACGTACATATTCAAGCCCTATTTTTTGGTAATACACATGAGAAAGAAAACTTTAAACCAATTGCATTTTTACTTGCAATGTGTTTGCTCAAAGAAGAAGGTGAGAAAGTGGCATTTTGTCACTTTTCTAAGAAAAAGTGACATTTTGTGACTTTTCTCCAAAACAGTCACCATTTATCATTGGAGTAATCAATCGGATGCATACATTTGTTTTTTTGAAAGTTTGAATATACCAATTCATACCTTGTTTTTTGGTAATACATATAAAAAAAAAAACTTTGAATCGACTACATGGATGCTTGCAAGATGTTTGATCATGAAGAGTGACATTCTGTCACCTTTCTAAAAAAAGTGACATTTGTTACCTTTCTATAAGAATAGTCACCATTTATCATTGGAATAATTAACCGGATGCATACGTGTGCTTTTTTGAAAGTTTAAACACACCAATTCATGCCCTCTTATCTGAGAATACATATGAAAATGAAAACTTTGAATCAATTACATGGATGCACATGGAGAGGGTGACATTCTGTCACTTTTCTTAAAAACAAAAAGTGACATTGTGTGACCTTTCTCAAATTCAGTCACACTTTATCATTGGAGCAATTAATCGGATGTATACGTGTGCTTTTCTGAAAGTTTAAACATACCAATTCATACCCTATTTTCTGGTACTACATATGAGAAAAAAAACTTTGAATCTACTACATGGATGCAAGTAATGTGTTTGCTCATGTAATCCATTATCACTTTTTCCCAAAAAAAGTGTCATTGTGTCACTTTTTTCCAAAATAGTCAAGCATTTTGGAATTATTAAAATACATATTCAAGCCCTGTTTTCTAGTAATAAACATGAAAAAAAAAAACTTTGAATCAAGTACATTGATGCATGCATGGTGTTTGATGAAGGAGAATGTGAAAAATTAACATACTGTCACTTTTTTCAGAAAAAGTCACAAAATCACTTTTTGACCAAATAACTAAATGCATATTACTCGGTCACTTAAAAAAAAAAATTCACACAATCTCTTTGTAATATTTTTGTAGGTATGTATAAAATCAATGTCTTCATTTGTTATGGAGGCAAGTGGACACAAGATAATGAGTGCACAAGTGACAAAATGACTGGAATTGTTATCGCGATGGATTGCACATGCAACCACCTTGAGTGCATGATATGTTCTGTGATGAAAGTAAGTGCATCAACTCAGAGAGTAAAAATACAATATAGAGTGAAGAAAATCCCGCCTTTAATGGAGATTTCAGATGATATTTCACTAACATTTTATTTGGAGTTGAAGAGAAAGAATAAAGATCTTGCAAGCTTTTCATTGTGCATGATGTGACAACGATATCAAAAAGTTACGAAACTGAATTTTTTAATAATATACAATGTTTGGAGGCTGTCAATTATGAAAAAATGATATGATACAATTGCAGTTTTGCGAAGCTGTAACTGATAATTCTATGACATTAGCTCAAAAATTACCTAGTATGGAAGAAATTGCAATTGATGTATACAATAGTATGTCGAAAGTTGGAGAAACAACGAATGAAGGAGGAAGTGATATCATTTCAATGGTCACTATGGATGGAATTCAAAAGATAAAGTGTTCAGGAACAAGACATTGGTTAAGAGAAGTATTTCGATATATGCGATACACAATAACTTTCAATTCAAGGTAAGTAAGTCGGACAAGAATGAGTATGTGTTGAAATGTATTGATGATAAGTGTAAATGGACTTTTAGAGCTTCAAGACTTGGTGGAACCGATATGTTCAAAGGTAAGGTATATAAAAAATGTCCATATATGCTCAAATAACATCATTTTAGGAGATCATCGTCAAGCAACCAGCTCAATAGTAGGAGAATTCATCAAGTACAAGTATATCTCAACAAAAACAACATACACTCCTGCAGACATTATAAGTGACATGATGAATACCTATGGAGTGTCGATGAGCTATGAGAAAGCTTGGGGATCTAAGGAGAAAGCATTGGAATTAGTGAGAGGAGATCCTACAGAGTCATATGAAAAGCTTCCAGGATACTTGTACATGATAGAACAAACAAATCCTGGATCATTTACAAAAATTGAGACATTTCAGGACAACAAATTCAAGTACCTCTTCATGGCATTAGGAGCATCTATTCAAGGGTGGAAGTATTGTAGACCAGTTATAGTAATAGATGCTACATTCTTAAAAGGCAACTATGGCAAAATACTATTCACTGCATGTACGCAAGATGCCAACAACAGTATCTTTATATTAGCATTTGGAGTTGGTGATTTAGAAACCAATGATTCTTGGGAGTGGTTCTTAAGTATGTTAAAAGAAGCATATGGTGAGCGAGAAGGTTTTTGTATAATCTCAGATGGACATGCAAGCATAAAAAATGCAATTTACAAAGTGTATGAGAATGCAATGCATGGATTATGTTCCTATCACTTACTAAAGAACTTGAAGTCTTCTTTTGGTGGGAAAAAAAGGGGGAAAGAATATTGCAGAACATTTCAATAGGGCTGTAAGAGCATATTCTAAGACTGATTTTGAGTTCCATATGAAACAACTTGATGAAATCAATACAAGGATTCGATCACATTTGGTATATTCTCATTGTTAACTTCTATAATAATTGATATCACTTTTTGTTTAAAAAGTGACATTCTGTCACTTCTCGACCAAAGGGTGGCAGAACGTCACTTTTTTGTTAATAGTGACATGATATGTCACATTTTGTTTGAAAAATTTGTATGTGTTGATACTTTTTATTAAAAATGAGTTTAAAGAAAAAGTGACATTCTGTCACTCTTCAACTAAAGAGTGACAGAATGCCACTTTTTTGTTAATAGTGACATGATGTCACTTTTTGTTTAAAAAGTTTGTATATGTTGAAAGTGAGTCTAAAACATGATAGAAAGTCACTTTTTCTGTTAATATTTTGAATTTTCTTTGTGCAGAAAGATATTGGTTATGAGAAATGGTCGAGGACTTACATGACAAACAACAGATTTTCTACAATGACTTCAAACATAGTTGAATCGGTAAATTCGGTAACAAAAGCAATGAAAGGTTGTCCAATAGAACCTTTATTGGAATTGTTAAAATATTTGTTACAAGAATGGTTTTTGAAGCATATAAATGATGCACGAGCAACCTTCACAATACTTGCCACCAAGCAAGAGAAAAAACTGAGAGAAAATTCTGTGGAGTCAAAGAAAATGAAGGTAAAAAGTTATAAACTTGCCGTTTTGTTATTGCACATCAAGATTTCTATTGTAACATGATTTGTATCATCTATTCATATTGAATTTTCACTTTAATCTTCCTTTCATATAAAATAGTGACAAATTCATTAATAGATTATTTTGTTATATTATGCACATAGGTATCAACTTCAGGTTCAATATTGTACCAAGTTAATGATGGTTGTGCCTCATATTTGGTGAACATGGAAGAAAGAACATGCACATGCAACCAATTCCAAGTAGACAAGATTCCATTTGCACATGCACTTGCGGTTATTGCAAAAATAAAGGAGGATTCATATTCATATTATTCCATATTTAATACAACAAATATGTATATTCAAACATATAGTGCATCAATTTTTCCACTAGGAGATCATAATGAGTGGAATGTACCAGATGAGGTAAGAGCAAGAATAATCTTGGCTCCTAACCCAAAAAGAAAATCTGGACGACCTAAAGAAAAAAGAATACCATCGAAAGGAGAGAAAACTCAAAGCGCAAAATGTGGAAGATGTGGGAATTATGGTCACAATCGTAGATCATGTCAAAATCCACCAAAGAAAAAAAAGTGACGCAGTGTCACTTTTCTGTTGATCGACATACAAAAAACATATTGTTAAAAAGGTGACATTATTCTTTCCTCCATTGACATTGTAAGTGTGTCCAAAATTTCACAAATAATGCTGCTTTTGTTAAAAAAATAAGTGACACTGTTAAAAAAAGTGACATACACAAAATCCAATGAGCTGAATTGGACATTCTAATTGGAATAAGCACATGGTCAACAAGGTTCCAATTTGTGTTGCACGGCATATACAACCCAATAACATATGATAGAAGAGAAGTTTGCTTTTTTAGAGCTAAGTATCTTGGCAAAAGTCGGCGTAAAGACCTCTCATTTGGCTATCAAACGGGAAATCTGTGGTTGTAGCCTTTATGTTTATCCCTTCTCCATATCTTAACAACTTTCTTAAATAATAGAAACACACATCAATATGCTACAAAAAAAGAGAAAAATGACAAAATCAACAATAGTAATAAAAAATAAACAAAATAATCTTAAAAACACAAACATATAAAATAACTTACTGTATCTTCCAAACATTTGTTTGGAATAAACAACTCATACCACCACTGTTTTGTAGAGATTGCAATGTCATAAAAATAAAAGCATGGATTGATAACGGAATTTTCATCATTGAAATATTTTTTCCTACATAACAAAATGGAAAAAGTCACATGAAAGTTACTGTACTGAAAAAATTTCACAAACAACATATATTAGTAACAACTTACTAATTTTTCTTTACCAATCCCTTGTTAAACCAAAGTTCAAAAGCATCGACATCATGTGCCATTGGAGGGCCAACACCAACCGGGAATGCAAAAGTACTTTTAACAACACGTTTCTTAGTCCCCGATGTAGAATTAAATTCATTGACCCAGGGAGACTGAAGAAGCACTCCAGATTTTTTTTGTCTTTTCAGATACATGTCTGGGGTCTCATTATTAATATCAATGATTCGAACATTTCCCTCTTCAATTTCAGTTTCAGCTTCAATTGCAGCCGTTACTTCCACAACTTTCTCCCAAACATCATCCTTCAGTTCAACCTCCTCCAACAAATCAATTCTACCTTCATTACATGGCGATGCAACATCCTGGGACATGAACAATAATACAAATTCAAATTATATTAACGTAAAACATACACAAGTTATGACGAAAAAGATGATAGAATGAAAACACAAGTACTTCTTGATTTTTTGCTAAACTACGAGCAACAATATCATCAACTTTTAACCAATCATCTTCATGAAATTCTATTTCTTCATTCAAATTCATCTCGACCGCCGTATCACTTTTTACCACTGCCCTGAGACTTTTTTCCACTGTCTTGTCACTTTTTTCAACTGATTTGTCATTTTTTCTGACAGCCACCTCTACATCTTTTTCCCCACAACTCAATTCAAACTCAATACCTAAAGAAAAACTAGGGAAGTCATTATATACCTGGTCTGTTTCATCAGGTAAACTCTCCATACCATCCTACAAAAAAAGTCACAAAGATAATCAAAAAGTGACAATAAGTTAAAAAAGTAACAAAATTCAGTAAAAAGTTGCAAGCATGAATTCTAAACTCAATAACTCTTGAATACTTTCGTTTGTTCTTCATTACCAGCTAACATCTTGTCTGTTTCATCAGGTAATCTCTCCACACCATCCTACAAAAAAGTCACAAAGATCATCAAAAAGTGACAATAACTTAAAAAAGTAACAAAATTCGGCAAAAAGTCGCAAGTATGAATTCTAAACTCAATAAATCTTGAATACCTTCATTTCTTCTTTATTACCAGCTAACATCTGGTCCGTTTCATTAGGTAAACTCTCCACACTATCCTACAAAAAAGTCACAAAGATCATCAAAAAGTCGCAAGTATGAATTCTAAACTCAATAAGTCTTGAATACCTTCATTTCTTCTTTATTACCAGCTAACATTCATTAGGTAAACTCTCCACACTATCCTACAAAAAAGTCACAAAGATCATCAAAAAGTGACAATAACTTAAAAAAAGTAACAACATTCAGCAAAAAGTCGCAAATATTAATTCTAAACTCAATAACTCTTGAATACCTTCATCTGTCCTTCATTACCAGCTAACATCTTATCTACTTTGCATTCCAAAATTTGAAGACGCTCCATCACTTCTTCATTTGTTTTAATCCTTTCTTCAACATCTTTTAGCCGGTTCTCAATTGGATTTGATTGTATTCTACGTTCAAGATCTGAGATTAATTTTAAAATCACATCATTTGATTGAACAAATTTCAGTTCAACCTCGGATAGTCGTCTCAAAACTTTTTCATTTGATTGCTGGAGTTGCTGAAAAGAATGCAAAATAATAAGAACCTTTGAAAAAACTTCGAACATGGTGAACATAAAATAATAAAAAGAAAAAATACCCACAAACCTCATTAATCTTCCTTTTGTTTTTCTTTTCTGTAGACCTTCCAGTTCAGTCAACAGATTTTATTTTTCCTTCATCTATAAACTTTTTCAGGCCAACAATAGGATGCTTAAAATTATCATCATCCTGGTCACCACCCAAACCTTCAACAAATAAACCAACCACATACTCTTCTCCCTTCTCAGCCTCCAGAGGCACAATTTGATTCACATCCAACTGAAAAATAAATAATCATATCAATAACAGCAAAAGATAAACTAAAGACATAATATAAACAATAAAAGGGTAAAAACTTACTTTAATCAAATCAAAAATGGTTGTTCTTAACCCCACAGATGTCACATGTTGATTGCTACTCCAACTCAACATCTGAGGACGCTGAGATTCATGCTTCATGCAGTAATTTTTTCGAGCAATAGCAGGAATTGTTTCATAAATCCATACTTGAAACAAAACTAGGAAGCCATTCAATCTATACTCCAAAAACTTCTTTTCCATAAAAATATTCTTCATTTTCTGATTAAATGCACTCTTTAGGGATGATAAAGTTATACTAAGAATTTCTATACCCCATGGAAAAGAATTCAAATCCTCAGACTCCACAAGGCAAAAAAAATGAGTCATCAACTCCTTTATGATAGGATGTACCAAATAGAAAGGATGTAATCAAATAAACTATGCCTATACCCACAACATCTTTATCTATAGTGTCAGCAGGCAAATTTAAAAACACTTCTTGAACCTCTGTTGTTGTGACACTTTCGTGATCTTTGAAATATTGTTCTTTTAAACGACTCTTCATTCTATATCGAGTTAGATCACCATTTCCAGTACACTGAAACCCTGATATCAAACAAAACTCTTTGATTGAAAATCTCACAAATTCATCACAGATATTAAACCACATTTCATTTGAATTTGGCTGCTTAACTTGTCTGAGCAGCAACTGGTGTATCAACTGTGGTTGTAAGATTATTTCCTTCAAATTAATGAAGGCACCAAAGCATGTATTCTTGAATAAAGTCCATTGATATGGACTAAATTTTTCATTCAAGTCTGTTATCACCTCGTGTGGAGATAACAATGTCAATTTTCCTTTGAACCAACAGGATTGAGGGATTAATAAATCGCAATCCTACAAAAAGAAAAAAGAAACAGCTAAAATAAAATTCAAGAAGAAGTACGTGCATTATGAAAGTCCAAAAGTGACACAAAACCAAAAAGAGTGACAAAACCATCACAAAGATGCTTCCTCATCAAAACACAACCAAAAAAAGTTGTAATTTATTTTATTTTGTAGTTGGTATTGCTTCATATGGATGTCAGTAAATGAGTACTCTAACTTGAGCTTTTGACAAGCTAATTCAACCTTTATGGAAAGTGGTCATTGTATCAATTTTATGACTATTATCACTATACTTAAAACAAAGTTTTAAAAATTAATAGGACAGCAATAAGAAAATTTTGAAGTTCACATATGACAGATAACTCAAGTGCAATGGATGGGCAAATTTGTTCATTGGAAAATCATATAAACAAAGGCACAACCCCATGCATACAAACACATCCACACATTTTTTTTTTCATGCATTCTGATATCACATGTAAGACCAACTAGAAACTATGAAAACCAAAGTAGCATTATAGTAGCAAAAAAATGTAAATCAGTAAAATTTACTAAAATCATTGCTAAAGATACACAATCTTCATTCACTGCACAAAATGTACAAAAACCATTGAGAAACACAAAAAAATCGTAAAGAACAAGACAATGTACGCAATATAAGTCAATAAAACATAAAAAAAAAATGTTGCTACCTTCGGTTTATAGGAAGATGAGGAAATTTTGGTCCTCTTCTTTAAGGATGGTTCTTCGAGATTTCTTTGCCTCTTCGATCCACTTTTCAGCCATTGCAAAAATACGAGTTAATTGTTGGAATCGAAATTAGATTTTCGATCTAGGGTTTAGGCTATTTGGGATTTATGGTCAAAATGATAATGAGATAAGAAACTAAACAATTACGAAGGGAAAACAAAGAAGAAATTGATGGAAAATGGGTCGAAAATGGAGATTTACAGTCGTATGTTGCTGGAGAGAAGAATCGCTTCTGGATTTACAGTCGTATGTTGCTGGACGATTTCTACAAATGAGCCGTTTTAGGGGATTAGGGTATCGTCCACAAATGAGGCGTTTTAGGGGATTAGGGCTTGCTGTAGAATTTAGTTTAGGTTTGATTTTGATTTTACCAATTTACGACGTAAATAATACTTCTTTAGAATATTTAAATAATTTAAAAGGTATTTATCAAAACACTTTAAAAAAGGGGGTACATGGCCTAATTTCCTCTTTTTTAAATGTCATATTTTAATAATCTTGAAAGGCCCAGCCTCCATTAGTTGCTCTTTCTCTTGAATCTCCTTTCTTCTCCAACCAACATTACATCGAGAACAAGCGAAGTGACTGTTGAAATATTTGTTTTCTCTCACATTTTCACTCTCCGTTCATCAGTGTTGATGCCATGGCTTTCATGCTGAATCTTGGATTTTTTTAGTGGGAGACAATGTGTTAAATTTTTTATTTATTTTGGTTTATGGCAAGTCA